GCTGTTGTTGTGTTTCACCTCTCACTCGCTTACTCTGCTGCTGGGTCTAGCGGTGGCGGTACAGCCATGCCGAACCTGCGTGCCCCTCAGGTGTGTGTTGTACTCCTTTCTTGGTAACTCGCTCGTTGTTCGAAGTAGTTCATTTCCCCCCCCGCCCACCGCACCTCACCTTTGCGGTCAAGGATGATTTGAAATCTCACACCAACATCGTGCCGCGGTTGGTTGTACACCAGAGTCTACAGCAATACTCCATCACATACAGCAGTGGTCGCAGTTGCCACATGCTACGAAAGGTTGTCATTGCTGGCAAAGTTTTTTTTATTTCTCCGTTTGCCATCATACGTCTTCGTGGTCAATGCTGCAGCAGACATTTGCAGAGAATGATGCCCTTGTGGTGGTCTTCGCGGCTGTACCATAGGCCCGAGATGGGCAGCATCAGGCCTGGCTCCATAGATGGCTGCTCTCACCCAGCAGCCCCCTGCACTACTGCTATATCCTATGCTACCCGGCTGTGTCATCCGTAGTTTAGGCAGAGGAAGGTATGGTGCCATGGCCACTGAAGACGCCGTGGGCCATGTTGGTGCCGTGGTTTTTGATTCTCCAGCGGGCGAGTCCACTCCGTACGTGGAAAGGTCATGATCAAGTTGACAAGCCTTTTACATACGATCATCCGCGCTAAGATTAGTTGCCAGCTCGACATGGGTGCATGGTTAAGATCCAACGACCTGTTTCGTGCACGTGTAACTGATACCACGTCGGTGTCTTGCGTAGAGAACGTACAGAAGACGGCCTCAGACCAATCAACAGCAACAGCACTAACTTGCTTGTGTTTCACAACAAGACACTACTGCCGCTGTGGGCACATATCCTCATCAACCGGGGATGCCCCGAAGATGGACGTACCTAGCCTTTGTGCTGTCAATGTGGATGCTCGTGTACGTACTCGTTCCGAATAATTCAAACGCATTGCAGGATTTCACAACGCGTTGTTATATGTGCGGCCCCTTTGCCCCTGCTCTTCAACTACCCCGGCCTACAAGGTTGACAATCTGCTAAACCCCCTGCGGAACAGCGGAACATCCTCGCATCTCGCATGAGCAGAGGGCTCCACGTACCACCCTGTGCATCGTGGAGGAAGCACAGCTTTTATCCCCCTCCGACACCGAACATACCACCCCCCTATGTATCTATCACCACACGTGCTCTCCCTAACCGTCGTCCGTGTTGTAGTGCTACCGGCCGAGGACCACCATCTATGTATGCTACAGAACGGGGCCAGAGATGAGAAACGTCAATGTCGGGTCGAGGCTCATTCTCTTTTTCTTCATCGCTGCTGCTATTGTGCAGAGTTCAGTCTAGGATCCACCGCCGAGCTGTGGTTCTTAAGCCTATTTTATTGTTTTCTCGAAGCCTTGAGCCTCTCGAAGCCATGAGCCTCTGGTTCGTAACGAAATACTTCTATTTTCTTAACTAAATAACTGCGGGCCCGCTCTGCAGCCGCTGTCGCATGTCAACCCAACGCGCCTCTGACCGTCTGCTGCCTTGGCGCCGTGGACTTTCCCGCCAGGTGGAGATAGTGGACCTTCGTGAGGACTTCGTGGAATTCGTGTTGTCCAATACGGACACTTCGGTTGCCAATGCCTTGAGACGAGTCATGATCGCCGAGGTGACTTTTGCCGACGACATGTAGTATGATGGGTGATTGATGGAAACACTACTATGGTGGGGGGAAGGGAGGCGTACTCTCATGTTTTGCATACCTTAGCGGTTAGGTCATTGACCACGTACGTGTCCTCAAGAGGACTACAATATTGGGGGGGGGGTCATGTGTATGACATGTAGCGACACCTGTTGTAGTGGCTTCGCTGGTTCGGATGTCTACCCAACAGGTTGTGATGGATGCCACTAACAAAGTTTCCGGCGTCTTCAAGGCGAAGCATGGCTACTGCTGTAAATACTTGTTGATATGTCAGGGAGGATTGTACCAATGTGCCATCCGAATCAATGCCATGGTTTGATCGTGTTTCCTGAGCTATTTTCCTCGCAAGCGTACCACCGTAGGTTGCACAACATTTTAGACCGATTTTCAAAGCTCGATTACTCCACGACGAAGACGATGCCGAAATTGAAGTATATGTTTGGGAAAGCTCTCGACGAGACGGTTCCAACGCCTCCCGCCATGTTCATCACCGTCCCCACTTTCCCTGCCGAGATACAATATGTACAATTGTATCGAGCTTCGAAAATCGGTTGAGGGGGTGTGTTATCTTACGCAACCTACGGTATTCCCTTCCTTCGACACCGCCGTTGTTGCGCAATCTTATTAGTGTCACTGATGGTGCCAGCGCTATATCCTTGCAGTGAAGCTAATATCAAGATACACCGCCGGCCTAGAGTATAGGCTATGCATACGGTTGGGCAGCAATGAGTGTTCTCGATCGGCACTTCGTGCATCGTCGTCGAGATGCCACGCACCTTAAGAGCCACCACGACTTCCACCGAAATCGCGGACTCCATCCCAGCAACGTTTTCGCTTGAACTCTGGAACGGAGCAACGGGACCCTCTCAATCCAACAAGAAATACTAAGAAGGGAGCCACGCGACCTTCCAATCCTACAAAAATACTTCGAAGGATTCCTATTATGGGCTTGCAATACTACTTTCACATGTCCCTCGTGCTGGTTGCATGTTTTTGCACCCCCCTATCAGATCCCGATGATCAGTGGCACCCGAATTCTGCCGTTTCGCGTGTCGTTTTTCACGTGTATAGTTTTACTTTTTGTTTTCGTGACTCTTTTTCTTGTCCAGGTGCCGACGATGGCGATCGACCTGGTGACTATCCACGACAACTCTAGCGTCCTCCAAGACGAGTTCCTATCCCACCGCCTCGGGCTCATCCCCCTCGCGGCAGACCCGGGGGTGCAGTACGAGTACAACTACGTGAGACCTGTGCATACCTGCTTCGTGCCGATCTTCAGGCCCCCCTTTCTTTTGGCGCGCGTTTACTTGTTATTTTTTCCTTGCGCAAGGCGTGCTGCTACTACCAAGCACGTAAATCGAGCACTTTCTTAACGTTCCGGTTGTTTGCTTGCACGTACACCAGCAGTCCCCGTTGGATACGTACACAGGTTGTGCTTCTAGATACGTTCGCGGTTGGTATTCTGCATGTGCGCCGATGGCTGCCGGGTTTCGCTCATTCACAAGACGTCCCCACTCGCTACCGTAGGTTGCGCAAGATATCACACCCCCTGGACCGATTTTCGAAACTCGATTACTCGGCGGGAAAACAAGTTACGGTGCCGAAAGATGGCGACGTTGGAACCGTCTCGTCGAGAGCTTTTCGAAAACGTATCCTTTGATTTTGGCATCCTCTTCGTCGTGGAGTAGTCGAGATTTCAAATTTGAGCAAAGGGGTGTGATATCTTGTGTCATGCAACCTACGGTTAATGGATGCATTGATTGACGTCGGCGCGGTGAGCTGTTCGTGGATTCGAGGGATGGGGGGGGCACGTTGAGAACTTCGGCACTCCCGTCGCCTCTGCCGCTTCTCTGTAGCAATATTCGAGCCTCCTCTCCAGCGTTTTTTTTCTCTGCTTTTCGATTGTTCTCCTTCCTGCACACGGGCAGCAACTTTCGAGGAGCCTGTTTGTGACGCCAGAGTAGAAGGGACGAAGAAAAACAGCCCGCGCTTCGAGCACCCTTCTTCGTGCGGCACGCGTATATATGAAGTCGCGCTGGTGCTGCGGCTGGTGCTTCTGCTGCCGTTTGTGTCCCTCCACGCTGGTGACGTTAGCAGAGTACCGTGAAATCTGGTAGCAGTTTTTTTTTTTTTCGTGCTGTCGTACACTATGAATTTATCGTTTTGCGCCTTGTGTTTTGTCCGTTGTTGTTTACGCGTGACTTTCCAGGACTGCGATTGCGAAGACTACTGCGATAAGTGCTCGGCTGTGTTCACGCTGGACGTGTCGTGGGACAAGAAGGCCTTGGGGAGGCCGGAGCACATGCAGGACCAACCTGTGCACGTTACTTCGGCGGACCTCGTCAGCTCGGTAAGCGCGGCCTTGCTGCATATGCGATGTTGAAACGTTTTTTCTGGTGTGCGCCGCGCTCGGCGGCGGTCTGCTGTCGCACTATTCCACCGTAACAGACTTGTACATACTTTTATATTAGGAAAAATGAATACACAGAAAGACTAAATACCCGTTCGAGATATAACCACAGTCGAACGGGATGTGTTGGGAGTCTTTTCAGTGAGTGGGGGAAACCGGCTGGGTACTGGGCATATTGCGAGTCTGTCTTAAGCCTATACACTGATGATTTTTGGTATATATATATATATATATTTTTTTTTTTTTGCTGGTTCGTCGGGCGGTTCGAGTCAAAAACACGCGAGCTGCGTGAGCTGTTGAGCTCGGGAAACGTCGCACGGTAGCTACCAGTCAGATACAGCTTGGGTTGGTACTGCTGCCTGCTTTCATTTTCATGTTGCATCGCCCCTTGATGACACTGCTGTGCTCTCATGAGCCCACTCCGTTGGCGTCACTCTTACGTATTTATGTGTAAAGAAGGCCTTGTAGCCTCCCGCCACCGAACAAGATTGTTACAGTTCTTGCGTACTAAGCTTCCAGCCTCTGTTCACGTCCGTTATCTGTAGTGCTTACGTACAAAATCCACCCCGCCGTTCGTTGCGGCTGTCGTCGTCGTCGTCATCGTTGTTGTTGTTGATGCGCAGGACCCTCGATTGCGGGCGGTGCACTTCGCCCCCTCGGACCAGACCAACAGCGACATCTCCCAGGACGCAGGGATCATCATCGCAAAGCTCGCCAAAGGTGAGGGACTGCTGGCTACACCTCGCGAAGCTTGTCTACATGCTTTGAACTATAGAGAGGTGGTAGGGGTTTTACATGGACCCTGTAATCGTGACCCCCGAAATTCCACCGATTCCATACTTTTATTCTATATGTTTGCTTAAATCAAGCCTGCGTAGGCTACTGAAGGGGATCGATGATCTAGTGGTGTCGAGCCATACAGAATCGTGCACGGCAGATGTTTCTACAATATGCTACACCTATGTTTGTGTTTTATGCTCGCTGGAATCACTCGTCTCTCAGTGTTTTACGCATATGCAGACTCAAGTACATATCGCCATACCCAATAGGGTGTTCCCAACAGTCACCATGAAGACTTCAACACATCCCTTCGATAGGGGCGTTGTCTCGGACGGGTAGTCAGTCAGCGGTGGTATGTGTTTTTTTCTGAGAAAAGGGCACACGCGGAACCCCAATAGATACACGCACTTGATCCGCTCTTCGCACGCAGGCGGGGACCTGTGGAAATAAGTATCTTGTGTACATGTAGATGCCCTCTTGTTGCTGTTGTGAACTGCTACTGACCCCCTTTCAGGGCAGACGCGAATAGGAATGCGTACAATTAAAACGGAAAGCGCTTGATTGGACTCCTCTACAGGGCAGCGCATGCAGCTGACGGCGGTGGCGAAGAAGGGCATCGCGAAGGAGCACGCCAAGTGGTCCCCCGTGGCGGTGGCCACCTACAAGTTCGAGCCCGTCATAGAGATCAACGAGGAGAAGGAGGCGCTGCTCACGCCGGAGCAGAAGGCGGAGTTCGTAGAGATTTGCCCGGCGAAGGCGAGTGAAGCTGCTGAGCTGAGAGAGAAACGACACGCGGTCGCAAAAGCAAACCACGTGCATGTATATATACTCGAAACAAGCCCAGTACCCAGCCGGTTTCCCTCCATTCACTGCAAAGACTCTCAACACATCCCGTTCGACTGTGGTTATATCTCGAATGGGTAGTCTTTCTGTGTTTGTATTTATTTTTCCCTTTGTATAGGTGTTTTCTTTTTCATGTTGCTGTTATGAAGCCTGGGCGAGCGCAGGGTCCGGAGAGTGGTGGCTGTGACCTACCACCGGATGCGGACACTTTCCTTTTGGGGGAACTCTCCAACACTGCCGTCCGTCCGGTTTATTTTCGTTCCTTTCCACGACAACGCCTGTTCCGAGTCTTGAGTCAATCTCCGCGTCTGGCGGGATGGTTCGCCACGCGTAGTAGGCATGACAAAGCCTGAATTTTGGGTCTATTGGCCGTCGGGATGGGATGACTAGGTGTCGGCATGGCAGTCTTGGTTCTATGCCCTTTTCGTCCGGTACGTTAGCTTCGTCTCTGGTTTTTACCGCTGTAGCCCCCTTCATCACTGAGTGTCGAAGCTCTCGGGCGGTCGTCACCTGTGAGTGTTTTTTACTCCGTAGTCATACATGTCTTGACGCTTGTTTGCTTTTTCTAGGGGAAAGCCTATCTAAGGGCGTGAAGAAAATGCGGTGATCGCACCCGTCCGGCCAACATCATTCATCTCCCATTTGAGGGTGTTTTTGTTTGTGTTTGTGTAGGAAACGCAGCAACATTATCACCACCAGCTGAACCCATCCGTGGTTATGTGATATATGTGATCCGTTTTTACGGTGGGTGAAGGTTTATTTACCGTTTCGCCTATTAATTTCAGCGTTCCATTGTTTGTGGTTGTTGCACCGCGTTATCATTGCTTCTCTCTTAACAGGTGTACGGGCGCGATGAGAAGAGCGGCACGATCTTCGTCGAGCACAGAGATATGTGCATGGTGAGCTGCATGCCGCTTGGTACAATGAGGGGAGCCATTGCTTCTTTTTCGTCTGGCGTGATGCCGCTTGGGGCACAAAGGGGGCCCTTGCCTTTCGGGGGAGAGCTCGCCTTTTTTCCGGGGTACCAGGAGTGTCTTCGTTGGGTTTTGGTCGACAGCAGAGCCCGTGCCCCGTTCCGGCACGCCGTTTAGTGCTCGTTTGTTTCGGGGGGTGTTTGGGGAAGGGGTGGGGTTTTCTGGGCAGGATTTTGGGGGGCCCCTTTCCCTCTGGAGGGGTTTTCTTTTTGACAAGAGGGGGTTTTGTTGGTATTCAGCCAATTTTTGGTGTTTGGGGGGGATTTGAGGGCGGGTCCTTTGGGGGAATGGAGGGGGGTTGGTTTTTTTTGTAGGATCCCTCGCCTTTATTTTTACCACGGGGTGTCCAATGCTGGGTTTTGACGCACTGGGGTAACCCCCCCCCCCCCCATATATGCCCCCTGTTCGCAAAATTTGAATAGGTTGGCGTCGAGTGGCACCGACGCTGTAAAACAAGCCACCAGCCCCTAGACATGAAATAATTGCACTAACCAAATTTTTATTTTCCCATACCGTAACACAAACCCGCCAAGCCAGACATGAAAGAGCTGAACTAACCGATCTTTTATTTTCCCATACTGTAACACAAACCTGACAAGCCAGACATGGAAAAACTGAACTAACCGACTTTTTATTTCCCATACTGTAACACAAACCTGAAAAGCCAGACATGGAAAAACTGAACTAACAGACTTTTTATTTCCCATACTGTAACACAAACCTGGCAAGCCAGACATGGAAAAACTGAACTAACCGACTTTTTATTTTCCATTCTGTAACACAAACCTGACAAGCCAGATATGAAATAATTGACCTAACCGACTTTTTATTTCTCATAACGTAACACAAACATGACAAGCCAGATATGAAATAATTGAATCCAACGAAATACATTTCCAGACGCTTGACCATTTTTGTTTTTATTATTATTATTATTTTTTTTTTTTCTTCCACAGTTGAAAACGCAAAAGTAAGCAAGAGTAGAAGGTTATTGGCCACCTTACATACATACCAACACGAAAACGGAAACGAAGCATAAATATAGACACAGCAATCCTTTTGGTCAAATGTGCGATGCACATGAAGGTTGGGGACTCGTGGTGAGATAACCGTAAAACAATACCGGTTCCCATTGGGCGGTGGGAATCTGGTCAGGCACTATCCTAAATTCTCCGCAAGGAGAGGGGTGGATAATGCAAGACAAAATGTCAGACCTAACATACTCAAGAACCTTGTTTTCAATTGACCGACCAAATGACCCAAAAGAGAAGGAGCACCAAGCGGTACGTAGATATCTTGAAGCTTGAAGGATAGACGCCGGTAC